GGGGTGTTGCTTTTTTTTGGGGTTTTTTGTCCCAATTTGACATAACCAATTCTTGACCTTCCCACCCCGTCCCCCAAACCCCTCTTTTTAAAGCCATTCCCTGACGAATGGACAGGCTATATAGTTCTTAGAATACGATTGTTTTGTTTAACGGTTGTGCCTCCGTCGACAATTTAGATAATTCAGGGAAAATGTCAGGGCCAGCTCGGGGGGTGGTTGGAGGGCGCCACTGGTAGGCCCTACTTCTTTTCTTTCCCACTGTTGCTTCTGTTTGTCTTACTTTTTCCCGGCACTAAATGACCGTAACTGTGTCGGTGTGCTTCTCTTTTCTCAAACAAACAAACAAAGGACCTGCTCGGGCTGGGTTTAATGCAGAATACCAACAAATTGAGAGTATTTTTTGTTTAAGTTTTAATAAGGGTTTTACGGCACTTGCAACACAATAAGGTCATATAAGTGCCGAAGAATAGTTTATGTATTACAAGACAGTAACATACACAAAAAAGGAGGAGGGGAAATAAGGACGACAGATGTTTGATAGGAAAGAAGAAGCAAGAAGCAAACCACACCAGTGGGTTACAAGACAGTAACATACACAAAAAAGGAGGAGGGGAAATAAGGACGACAGATGTTTGATAGGAAAGAAGAAGCAAGAAGCAAACCACACCAGAGCACCCACCAACCACACACACACACCATGAGATCGTTCCGTATTAGCTATCACAAACAAAGTACAGAGAAAAAAATGAGGACAAACCGTTTGATTGAGTGGCATGGTACTGACATTTATTTTATTTTTATAAGAATTTCTAAGCTTAAAAACATTTTTTCCGAAAATATATCCCACGCCTCCGAAAATAAAAACAACTTTTTCCATATAAAAAACAGCAACCAAAAAACTGTTTACTGCATCACGATAAAGCTCTATCTGTCCGCCAAATGTATCACAGTTGACCAAGCCGGTGTGTCTCAGACATTCCAGTTTTGTACATTTCAAGAGACATATTTTACATTGTAGTCAAGTACTTATCAACTTATTAATACTAATATAATGTAAAATGTGTTAAAACTTTACTAAAAACAGTTTACGTTTGTCTATATAAATACAGGCACCACAGAAAGAAATACGGGAAAGGGAGTTCGGGACGGAAAGGGGGGGGGGGAGGCATGTGATGCTATTCTTCAGTATCATTCATGATATAAAATGTATTGTTATACGATAGTATTCCTTTTTTAAAATGAATTTTATTGTGTTTAATGAGTCATTGGGAGGGGCTGGTGGAAGAACTGTGTGTATCAGTATGGGTTCATGATATTACAAAAGAAATTTCATATCTGTTCACTGTCATCAATACGAAATACATTTCAAAGCAGTTTGAAATACTATTGTGAAATGTGTAAATCCATATAATTATAAAAGGATTCGACGCATCCTCTGGTAATCGATGTTTACTTATACAATGTGTACCTAAATTACCCTTGAGCACACACACACACACACACACACACACACACACACACACACACACGCACACACACACACATACACACACACAATGCACTTGAGCACACACACACACATACACACACACTCACACACACGCATAAGCATGCACACACTCACATACATACAGAGAGAGACACTCATACATACAGAGCCTCTCTCACACACACACACTCACACTCTCTCTCTCA